CGCTGCAGTGATTACAGGAAACGCTAAACTTCCAAAATTCTGCCGTCGTCGTCAGAGTCCTCGTCGTTGTCCGCGTTACCCAACGCCAGTCGACCGACGGATCCTGACAGCTGTTGCCCCATCCCTGCGCCAGCATCCTCGATCTCGATGCCCTCTGACGGGTCGACTTCCGGTTCTTCTCCTTTGATCAAAGTGACTAGCCGCTCGATGTGCTCTGAGATCTGCACATCCTTATCGTGAGCAGCCGGCGCAAACATGCCTCCAGAGACGCACCTTGTCCACCTTCTCGGCCTCATGGGCGGCTCGCACAATCTGGTAGACCCCGTGCTCTCTCTGATAATCACGCCCCCAGCGGGTGTGACACAGCAGCAGCAGCGTCTCGACGAAGATCAGCCGAATTGCCTCATCCGGCTCGCGTGTTTTCGTTGGCGGCAAAAACTGCACTGCATCTGGAAGTGATTCCTGGTCTTCTAAGTCCAGCTCTTCTGGGCCGGCGAGCGGAAGAAGCAGATACGGGAGCGCGTCAATCCCAGGTGCTTCGTCCGTCGACGGCGGTACGCAGATCGTGGCCGAGTCGGGACTGAGAATCGCTTGATGCCCAGCGCTGTTGAAGGCACAATTTCTGGGTAATTTAGATTCGCGAAACCTTCAGCATGCGATCGGCTCACTTCAACAGGGACGCCACGCCACCCCTGCGAATAGTATCCCCATGCCCCGTGAACACCACGAGTTTCGCAAGCGGGTACTCCAGCTGACCACCACTCTTCTCCTGAACCCCGAATGTCCGCGGTTGGAGAAAAAACGTGCGCCCTGCAGACGACTGATTGAATTATTATGAGCATGGCAGCAACATCATGATTATCAGCACTCACCATCGACAGATTCGCAAACACGCTGGCCAGGAAATGCACATAGCCTTTCCGGGCTCGTTTCGACACATCAGTCTCTTCATCAGCCCCCTGCACGAATGCGTCCACTAGCAGCGGTAGCGCAAGGACGGACTTCGCCGGCTCGTCCGGGTATGGGACGGGTGCTGGTGCCGTTGCGCAGCGCGACTGCACCGGGTAGAATCCATTCGGCAAAGATGGCGCCAAGACGACATCGACCGACATCGTGAGTACAGCGGCGCATGCAGAGGAAGAAGCGGTGAGATTGGATAGCAGCATTGATGCGAGGTCTGCCAGTACCGACTGAGGGTTCTGCAACATGAGATTAGACAAGAAGATGGTGTAAAAGATCCAAGCGCACGATGATATAAGATACTATGAACGAGAGGAACGATGGCTCGGACAGTGTCGAGGCCAGCATCGGAGAGTCGGAAAGGTTGACCAATGCGCGAAAGGCGTCATGAGAGACACTCTGCGGGTGCAAGATTAGATAGCCATTTGGACGCATAACAAGCATTTACAAGCTGATCCCGACAAAGCAGCTTCAGGTCCCGCAGAATCTCATTATCCTGCTGTTTTTTCAGACCGCCAACCTGTGCGCCTTCGAAGAAGATGTTTCGGTGCGGGGATCCCTTGGGCGTCTGGGGCAGGAGATTGGACAGTGCGATTTGCCGCACTTGCGGGTTGCGATCACGGAGGAAGGGGATAAGCTGGAAACTTGCGGACGTTCATTAGGAGGGACACCGAATTCGATCTGCGACTGACTGACTTCTCGTAGTTGGGCCTCCATGGCTGGTCGAAAAAGAGAAATCGATATGATGGGACGTGGGGCATCTGATTGCCGACATGATTGGCATTTTGACAAGCGGCGCCAAGTCTCATCTTGGACCAGACGACTTGCCTCGCACCTCCTCGCACCGTTCCACTCCATGCCAAACGATGCCATAAAGCACCAGCCTCTCTGTGCTATCCCTCATCCACGCCTTGCACACGATGGCACATCGCCCTACAGTATCTTTCTCTTCAAGCCTCAAACTCTCGATCAATCCACCACACTCGACAGTTCGGTGATCCGACTCTCTGAGGGCTATGTCTAGGCAACTGGCATCGACGTTGGCCTGGTGAACCACTGCCACCGCTCCCCTATATATGCGGCTTTCCCCCGTCAGAGCAAAGGTTTCCAGCTGAGCTCGCCGGCCTTCGTGCCCCCTTCTTCTTTTCTACATTTCCAAACTTCCAGTCACTCGTTCACTCCGTTCCATATTCTCGCTCATCATGGTCCGAGTTTGCTTGCATTCCCAGTCCATCTTCTTGTTTTTCTTCCTCTTGCTTTCAATTATCCCCTTTTCGATGGCTTTTCCGGTGCTCGGCCGAGAATCCCCGGGCTCTGTTGCGCTCAGACGGGTGGGTGCGAATCAGAAACGACTCGCCGAATACGGGTGCGTGATCATCCGTATTATCCCCTGTCTAATATGTTCTGACAAACAAGCCCTTCGCTAGAGATTTCCGTGAACACCGTATGCGCGCGCAGGCTGTTCCGGAACCCGTAGCCCCCATCCGAAAACCCGTGATCCGGCGAGGGACTGGTCCGAAGGGGCGTGCCTCTGCGATTATCGCTATGGGCTCTGATTCGTGAGCTTTCCTGGCCCTCGGGCATGTCTGTCTATCTAATTTGGGACAACTGCAGCCTATGATCCTAGCGCTTCGACGATCTCGTCTGAAGGCATTCCACGCCCCGGTCTTCTTCGAAGTTGCAGATGCACTTAGACCGTGATGAGATAGGCCATGTACATTCATCTGTCAAGGATCCCTTCCTCCCGGCGGTTGACCGGTCGGGTGCCAACATCTAGACCGTTCTTGCAGGCTCCAAACATTGATAGCCTTGATATAAATAACGGACAGTGTGGTGCTCAGCAATTCTTCGACATGTCCGTCATTGATAGTCCCTGTTGAATTCCTCGTCCCGCCGGGTCCTGAAGCCTTCCTGGATCTTCGAACGTTCCAAGTTTGATTCCTGCATCGCAAGTCTCCTATCATGTGACTTGTGCCAGTCCTTTCAAGCAGCCAGGGACCGATACTAAAACCCAAATCAGCTGCAGAGAGAGATAAGCTACCGTGCATGTGTATGTTTCAAAAGACAGTTATTCCGAAGAAATGCAAGGATAATCTGAAGTCCAACAAGCACCGCGGGCTCAGAGTTATGGAATAGTGACATTTCCAACCTGCCATGAAGATCACGAATGCTGTGATCGAATTCGATTGAGAGTGGACATGGATAAGGTCCGACGGGTCTTACCCGTATTGGACCCTCGAAGGTCTCTTTCAAGGCTTAAAAGGCCGTTCTGTCTGTGTTCAACAGCACAGAGACTCTCTACCGCTCAGGCTCAAAAATACCCAATGCTTTCTTGGTTATTTCCCGTTTGGGCATCCCCATCATCTGCCTCTTCTGCACCGCGGCTCGCGTCCGAACCCAAGCCGGACGCGTCAGTACCGACTCCTTCATCCTGCGAAGACATCCTCAGCGACCCTCTCGAGCACCCCGTCCTCGACCGCTTGCGCGCGCTCATCGCGTCCGGCGGCGGCGAGTCCTGGCCCCCGCGCGCGTCCTCGCACGACACCTGGCCCACCCCACTCCGCGCATACGACACCGTGTACCGCGCCGTCGCGCCCTATTTCCCCACCCCCGAATCCTCCACGGACGATGCGCACAACCGCGCGCTGATTGACGCGTACCGGGCGCGCATGCGTGCGCAGCTGGCGGAGCACGTCGACCTCGCAGACGTGCGCGCCGCACTCGAACGGGCGGCGGGGCCTGACCCTGAGTCCTGCACACAGTCGGCTTGGCTTGGGATCTGGCTCGTGCTCTCGTTTCTGCGGCATTCGTACCGGTGTGTCCGATCACTCGTCTTCTCCGCCGTAAATTGAATCTTGGTTAGCTGGGGCGTGACTCCGATCGTGAGTGAAGCCCAGAACGAAAAGTCTGTCGCGTTCCCGGCAGAACTCGACGTCTCGTGGAGCTACATGCAACAGCATTTCGGCACGACGTCGCCCGGGGGGTGCATGACCTCGCTCATGTACGCGAACTTACGGGCCGACGACACGTTGGAATACAGCGTCACTGCCGGGCTCTCCCCCGAGCACCGAAGCACAGAGCTATGGAACACCAGACTTCTTTGTGGGATGGACGAAAGGGTTTGTTTCTTCGGCTTGTTTTCTATTCCCCTCGCTGATGGGAGGTGAACAGTTGCTGCCCATGTACCACCTATTCGCGCACTCGATTGTATATCTTGAAGGCGGTGATCTTCTTGCTGCTCATTCAGCCTTGCAAGCTGCCAACCAGGTGCTGCGAAATGCGTTCAAGTTTTTCTTCGGCTCGATGGTAAATGCGAAACTGAACCAACAACTATGGCTCGCCTACGTCCAGGGCTACCAAGGCTGGACGCTGGACGGCATCGACGGCATCTCCGGTGGCCAGAGCCTCGCATTCCGCACCCTCGACTCGTTCTTGGGCGTCCGACCGTTTCCGGAACCGCACAAAGAGTCGCTCCACCTCCCAACCGCCCAGCGGGACTGGCTGAATTCCCTGAGAGACTACGATATACGCGACCGCGTCAGGGAGATGGGGGACGAAGCGGCCGGACTGAAGGAGGAGCTGGACGCGCTGGTTAAACAACTACGGGTGCGCTTTCTCACCTTTCGGGGCGGCAGAGAAATGCTTGCTGATACGAATGTCGTAGTTGTGGCGAATGGGGCATATGAAACGCATGGAGGTCTACGAGTCTGTGCGCAGGCCTGAACGGAAAACAATGACGGCTGGAATCTCTGTCGTCGATGCGGCCAGTGAGGATCTCATGATCCGACACCTCAAGCAGCAGCTGGGACAGCGATTGGCGCAGACGGTTTAGTTGATGATAATTGAATGTACACACACTGACATCTCTCACATACTTATACCGATCTAGACTAGCATAAATAGACATTTGTATCTTTGTATCTTTGGCACTGACTCGCATCGGATTATCAGATTATCATGAATCGGGGTTCTGACGTCTTAGGCTTCTACTTCAATTGCATCTCAAGGTTTATTGTTTGGTTTCCCATGACAACAAGTGACTAGTAGGCAGCCCACCCTCCATCGACAGGAACGCAAGCACCATTCAGCGGGCCATCCTCGCTCAGCGCGAGAACAAATTTGGCGACATCCTCGAGTTTATTCATTGGCGGCTCCATCGCCATCGTCGAGCGCAAGACGGCCATGAACTCCATATTCAATCCACCATTCGGGTCGACGATGCTCGTAGCCATACCGCCCGGCAGGATTGCATTGCAGCGGATACCCTTCTTGCCTAGAAACGCGGCCGTGTTCTTCGTCAACCCGATTACGCCGTGTTTGCTCGCCGTGTATGCTGCGCCGGCGGCCCCGCCTCGAACTGAGGCTGCGGATGCCACATTGAGAATGGCACCGCCGGCGGGGGACTGCGCCAGCATAGCTTTGACCGCCTCGTCTAGGCAGATAAATGTGCCGGTGAGGTTGATGCCGACGACGCGGTCCCATGTCTCGCGCGCGACGCTGCCCACGGGCTCGAAGCGATCCATGACTCCCGCGTTGTTGATCCAGACGTCCAGCCGTCCTGTCTTGGAGACGGCGAGATCGACGACGGCCTTCACTTGCTGCGTGTTTGTAATGTCCGCGACGATGGAGTGGGCAGTGGGGCCCAGCGCAGCGACCGCGTCCTGCAGCAGAGACGCATTGAAATCGCAGATGACCACTGTGGCACCCTCGTCGACGAACGCCTTGGCGATAGCTCTTCCCAGTCCCTGGGCTCCCCCGGTGACGACCACGGATTTGTTAGCGAATCGAGACATGAGTGCTAGCGGAAGGTCGGCTGAGTATAAGTAGGCAACCTTCGACGACTGCGAAAGCAATAGATTGCCGGATAGGTGCTTGATAAAACAATAACAGCTCGTCGGATTGTGCTTCTGTTCCGGATAGGGTGGCCATGCCGGATGGATTAGGTCCAATTACCCTCTACGAATGACGAATGCCAGGCCTGGTGGGTAGGCAGTTGTGATGCGTTTAACGAGAGTGAATAGATGACAGGTGTCTAATCTGATCCGGGTTCGTCACATGCCCTTACTCCATGTGCCCCAATTTTCAATGGCGATGCCCAGGCAGGTGATACTTAAGTAACGGTCATGTACCCGATGAGTGTGGCGTACCCTGACATATCCTACTGAAATCTGCTAATTAAATAAACAAAAATCCTTGGGATCCAACAGTGTTCAATGGTCAGGCAAATCATGTCTGCTCCTGAACCTCTGAGATGAGACCTTCCATGAGATACGGAAATTTACCATTGCTTTAGGAAATTGTGACCCATTTTCCTCGAGTGAATGTCACTGGAAGTGTTCTGGAGCATGGAGGTCGAATGAGGAAGCATACACCGGACACATACAGTGGAGCGTGGATCCAAGCTGTTTCTCATTGGGACCCTGTAAATCAACTTATTTACCTACTGCATCTACTACTTTAATGGATATGACAAGACAGCAAAATGGCTAGTAGGCAGACCATCCTCCATCCACCGGAACGCAAGCGCCATTCAGCGGGCCATCCTCGCTCAGCGAGAGGACGACTTTGGCGACATCTTCAAGTTTGTTTAGTGGCGGTTCCATTGCCATCGTAGATTGCAGGACGGCCATGAACTCCGTATCCAAAGCACTTGGGTCGGCGATGTTCGTGGCCATGCCCCCAGGCAAAATAGCGTTGCAGCGGATGCCTTTCTTGCCTAGAAACGCGGCCGTGTTCTTGGTCAACCCGATTACGCCGTGCTTGCTCGCCGTGTAAGCTGCGCCAGCCGACCCGCCCCGAGCTGACGCCACCGACGCCACATTGAGAATGGCGCCGCCGGCGGGGGACTGCGCCAGCATGGCTTTGACCGCCTCGTCTAGGCAGATGAACGTGCCCGTGAGATTGATGCCGACGACGCGGTCCCATGTCTCGCGTGCGACCGTTCCCACAGGCTCGAGGCGATCCATGACCCCCGCGTTGTTGATCCAGACATCCAGCCGTCCTGTCTTGGAGACAGCGAGATCGACGACGGCCTTCACTTGCTGTGTATTTCTGATGTCCGCAACAATGGAATGGGCGCTGGGGCCCAGCGCGGCGACTGTGTCATGCAGCAGAGACGCATTGAAATCGCAGATGACCACTGTGGCACCCTCGTCGACGAACGCCTTGGCGATAGCTCTTCCCAGTCCCTGGGCTCCCCCGGTGACGACCACGGATTTGTGAGCAAATCGAGACATGAGCGTAGTGGGCAGGTCTGCTGGGTACAAGTGGACAGCCTGAGACTGCGAAAGTCATATGTTGCGGGAAGGACAATTGATAAAACAATGATAGCTTGTCACATTGCGCTTCTCTTCCGGTTAGGAGGGCCAGGCCGGTTGGATAAGGTTCAACGAACGCCGGGCCTAGCGAATAGTCCGGTGAACAAATGGATCGGAGTAGATGAGCGGTTACTAGGAATGATTGATCATGCACTGTCGGCATCAGGTGAAGGTTTCCGCAGTTGGCTATACCAGGAGATTCGCAGCATTTACAAGCCGACGCGCAGTCCAATGGATGTGAAGTCGAAGTCGAACCCGAAGTCGAAGGGACGAGCCAAGGGGCTGGAGAAGAGTCACGATGTCGTGATTAATAGGAAAACGTGACCTGGACGGACCCTAGAGCAGATTGGAACAGTCAAGATACCAAGTTGCTACATTATTCGAAGCAAGTCCAACAAAGAGGAAATAGATCATAAGGTATGGGTCGTAAAAGTCATCATTGAAACACACCCAAAAACGATCGGTACACAGAAATCCAAAAATACAAAAGGGTGACTTGAACGCGGATTAGAGATGTGTGCAAAGCAAACAAGGATGTTTTGTTCAGCAGTGGTATATATGCGACAACACAGATCGGGTCTAGAAGGGCGACTCGTCCCAAGATTCTGAGCAGCGGGTCAGAGAGCGATCATAAATCGTCATTACCACTCACCCTCAGTGATACTCTTCCACGCCAAGTACAAGACGCTGACAGCAGCAGTTTCAAGGATCGTGGCAACAAAAGAGCCATCGACTTTGGCCGAGGAGCCCTAAATGACATGTGAGTCGATGCTTGCGTAGATATCACAAGATCACAAACCTTGCATATCACCTTGCTCAGGAGAAAGAACGCAAGCTGGCTCAATACGAAGAGCACCGCGGACAGCACGTAGAACCACATGGGCCGCAACTCATTTAGCACCGCCAGGACGATGTACGTCATAATAATGAAGTATATGATCACGGCGCTGATCAAAAAAAGTCAGCAGATATCTACGATTAGCACACAAGAGAACGCACACAGCAGGCCATATGCTTGTTAGGACGAACAAGGGGATGCTGTGGAGTGAAGACAGAGGATTCGAGGGGCCGAAGGCGGAAGTGATGTGCAACGCAATATCGAAAGATATGTATGTCGTCGCAGCGAAGAAGAGGAAAGATATGAAGTAGAAGGGGATAAGACTACTGGGCGTCCCGTCCTCGACGACCTGCGTCGCTACTAGACCGTTGGCCAGCAGCATCCAGAAAACAGTGGCAACGACTCCAGCGTGTATGGCCGTAAGAACAATCAAAGCTGTGGAGCCCTGCTCAAGAAAAGAACCCGTGGTAACGAGCTGGAAGGGCAAAGATATGAAGTAAAGCGAAAGTAAAGCCCGCAGCTCGAGGCGACCTGCAAGTAGCGATCAGCTGATTGGCAAGTTTGGATTGCAATCGGGCGTGAGACCCACCGACGGCGGCTTTCCTCCGGCTGGTTTCCCAGATGAGAACGGCGGTGAGAATCATGCTGAGGGCACACACGACAATATTTGCGATATTGCCCAGAGATCCTGCGTGGCCCATACGTGGTATCGCGCATGTCGGATTCACACCCAGACCTGCGGACGACACAGGGAGTGAAGCGTTGGTGAGCACGGTCGGGTCCTCATGTAGGATCTTTCGTGGACGTGCATGAGCATTGGATATGAGTGCTCAATGGTGCTGCGTACCTGGCGGTAGAACAAGTTACACCATGGGTATGACCCTGTGTTACGACAGAGGGTCGAAAAATCACCGAAACGCATTGCGCGTTAGACCGAGAGCGAGTTGCCTGAAGACGGGGAGTGGAGTCCTACGGACAGAGATGGGCCCTGGAAGCCAGGTGGACGAGGGGGTAGCGGCGGGCGAAGGCTGGTGAAGGTCTCCAAGGAAGGGCGGTGGGAGATAATTCACAACAATAGTCAACAATACTGGCGATTTGATCTGGAACGCGTGGGTCTACCCTTCAATGATACCGTGATCGAGGGCCGAGACCGACAAACCGTTCGTTGCCTTCGTGAGGTCCGTGAAGGTTTAGCAAGAGGTCGTGCGTATACAGAAAGTCGTGAGGGTGCTGAGAGCGTTCGGGGAGACGTGTGTAACAAATGTGAGCTCAATGTGCATGCCTAAATCTGTCCGACTTCCCGTCCCGGGCCGTATCCACTGGTCATAACGGGGAACTCAAGCGCGTCCTGTAGCGAGGTGATCGCATTGTGCTGGCTCTCCCCTTCCCCCTTTCAATAAACCTGTCTTACATGATTCAAGCATATCGACTGCGTCCAAGTCACTTACTCCAGGCCTTTGGACCTGTGCCCTTGACTCTGCTGTTCTTCCTCCTCATAGGCATTGTTGTACACGAGCGAAGGGTTGCCAGCTCTGTCGTTCACTTATGATGCCACCTGTGGGCTTTGTCTCTACAGCAAATGTACAGTTGGCAAGGCAGATTCAGAAGGTGGATACATCTCCGAGAGCAAGATCCGACTCGCGCGTATTCATGGTCCTGTGGCCATCGCTACTGACTCGTAGTCCGACTCTGTCTCCGGCATACTTCATTCGGGTTTCGACATATGCCTTCGCCTGCCTACTTCATTTCAAGCTTCCTCTCCGGAGCTCAACGGAAAATCTGAGCATTCTTCGGTGTGCGTCGTCCGGATAAAGGCTGGTGTTGTCTAGAATTGTGGAGGGGGCGCCTTCGGGTTCGTACCTCCTTCGATCTCGTGCCACAAATGTTACAGGCCTCTGGACTGTCGGGAATCTTTTCTGCCACCGTCTTTCGGGGTCGACTCTCTTGATGATACTTCGCATTGTTCTAGTAGAATGACATGTAGATTATGTGTGCGCCAATGAAGCCCAAAGGACAAAGCCATCGCATCCGCCTTGGAGATTTGTGATCGGTGTTTGCCGACACTATTTGCTGCGTCAGACATCAGAGCCACGCCAGTGTGGCCATAATCTACTTCGTCTCTACACCCCGTTCCAAAACACACGAGAGTTCTGCGTTAACGTCGAATCTTGTAGACGCTCAAAAATACTGTGCGATGACTTCTGTCGCTTTCTACCGTTTAGTTTTGACCTTGCTCTCTTTCGCATCCCCACGCAGGCCCATTTTTAGGGCTGCCAGACGATGAATCGTGGTCCATCGCCGATATTCGATGCACCCGAGTTCCCAACCCTTCGAAGAGTGAAGCCGCTGCCGAAGCGGAGGCGCACGGGCCCAGCATCCCACACGGACGGTGACGATCAAGGCGGCCTCCCATCGTTAAGCACCCTTGGCCTTCCCTTTCCTCTGCCAGGCCCCGATGCAACCGCCGAAGAACTCATCGCGCATGCCGAATCCCTGTCCGCTCACATGGCCCTCCAGTCATACTACATGCCGGGCTTGCAGGATATTTTTAACCGGAGTGAGCTCAGTGGCACAGGAAATGGGCATGTGGGCTACTCGGAGGCGGAGGAGGGGGATGACGGGGAGGAGGATATGTCGGATCACTTGCAACAGCCTGGAAACACAAAGAAGCGGAAAGTACCCGCGAACACGTCGGCGATGCCAGGTCATGATCCAGGAGATACCCCATCAGGTGGTGAGGAGGAGGTCTCTGAGCGAGGGATGCCGCCAAATAGGTCGGAAGAGCCCCTCCAGACAATCCCGACGCCCTCGTCACCCTATGCTGGGTTAGGGATCCGCAAGGGTCAGCCGCCACGCATCACGCAAGCGGGGCTGCAACACAAAGAGACACTGAAGAGTCGGAAGCGGCAACTCGCCGCTGTTCTGGGTGCTTTGAGCCACGGAGACACTCTTGCACTCGACCAGGCGCTTTCCAGCAGCTACCAATTCCCTGGCGCTGGGTTTGAGCCTGCGGATCTGCGGGTCCGCATCTCACATCGTTTCGGACCACGTCTGGCTCGTGCTGCTCGATTTTCAGAAAAGTTCAGGCATCCGGACAAAAGTGCGTTCATGGAGTCTGAATTCACGTTTGCGTGTCCCAGCACAAGTGAGTGATTGCTCTCGGGTCTACTTTCAATTTTATCTATCTCTGATCTGTAGCGGCGGAACGGCTTGTCTCCACAAAGGAAGAGGTCGCGGCTTTGCGGTCGCGATTTGAAGCTGAGCTGGCCAGACAAGCCGCCAAGGCTGCGAAGATGGCTGCTGCCAACAAGCTCATGTCCAACCTGCCCTCCAGTAAGTCAAGTAAACAGAAACGAGGCAGCAAGACGCAAACCCGAGCTCGACCGACAAATATCAATCAACCAACCTCGACTACGGCCTCCACGACCACTAATTCGCCGACGACAGAGAACGTTGATCCCGCAACGATGATGGGAATCAAGACCCGCGGGAAGAAGAAGAAACGGTCTGCGTTGGCTAACGCGTCGAACCCCCATCATTTGCGGAATTATGTCCCATCACGGTTGCCTCAATCGGGAGCGACCAACGGGGCGAGCAGCCATCCATACAATGGGCTCGGGCCGCTTGCCCTGCGATTCTTGTCTGCTGACATTCCTCCTCGGCGACGCAGAAATGGGAAACCGGTTCCCATGGGCGATCCGTCTGCGCTCACTAATCCGGCAGACGAGTGGATCTGCCCGTTCTGTGAACACGATCTGTTCTATGGAGATGAGCGAGAGATGAAGCGGGCTGTCAGGAGTCGGAAAAAGATCTTGAAGAGGCGGAGGAGAGCTAGAGAACGGGCCGCTGCTGCTGCAAGCGGAACCAGCACAGCCAAAGCGCCTCCCGAGAAGACGCAAGAAGAATACGAGATGCACCCAGGATATGCGCCCGGCGTCGAGGATATCGAGAACTTGCCGACGCACACCAAGTGGCGGGGTGATCCAGGAAAAGAGCTCCAGCGCGCTGGCGATATAGGATCGGGCGCGCCTGGATGAAACGGCCCATCGTGTTTGGGTGTTAGAATCTCATCCCATTTATAAGTCATTTCAATGTCTCCATGCATACGCATGTATCGTATCTCACACTCGTTTTATCCATCCCTGCATCACGCATCGGTCGACTTGTTGCGTGATTACGGAGGATGCGCGGCATCTTTCTCATCGCTGTCCGATGACGTCAGCGTCCAGAATCTAACATACTCAGACTGTAAGCACTCTCTGTCCGATAATGTGCAGGAGAATGGGCTCGGCGGAACCGTAGGAAAGCTACTATAAGGTAGGGCACTTTAACATTAGCCTAACTCTTCGCTCCGCCGTGGGACAACACCAGTTCTGAGAAGGAATCGTCTGATCCTTCTTTTTCCATGAGTGTTTCGCTTCATCCCTTCTCTAACGAACGCTCTTCGTATATATGTATGTGTACGTATGTACTATGTAAGAGTCGCAGTGTGCTTCGCCTGTTGAGTTGAAAGCATAACATTTTCCACTGCGTATCAATCAGGTGATCATAGTCCAGCCTGTCAGGCCAACACTGGCCGCTTACCCAAAGGTTACCACTCTCCACCATGTCGACGCCTGCGATGGCTTCCGGCGACCTGCTGGACCTCGTCTCGTCGTCAGGTGCGGCCACTATCTATCCTAATGACGACGCCATTCTCGCCGTCCTACAAGCCCGTTTTCGCGCAGACCTGCCGTACACCCGTATCGGCTCCACCCATCTGCTTGTCGTCAATCCCCTCAAAGCACTGTCCAGCGTTAGCGATGCCAGTGCCCGCGAGTACGAGGAACGATGCTACAAGGACACCAATCTCCCCGCCATCGACTCCCCAAAGCCGCTCCAGCCGCACATGTACGAGACGGCTTGCAGGATATATCTGCTCATGCGCCGTCGGGCAGAGCCGCAGATGATTATTCCTCGTGGAATCACGGCGTCAGGCAAGTCCGCCTCATTGCGTCTTCTCTCGAGTCAACTCTTGCGGCTGTCCACGCACTCACGAAAAGAGGCCAAGCTTGCCGACCAGCTCCGCGCTCTGACGACACTGGTCGATTCTTTCGCAAACGCTAAGACGCAAGCGAATCCTGACGCCTCTCGGCATTCCAAACTCGTCGAGATGCACTTCAACGAACGCGGTCGGTTTGCTGGTGCCAAATGTCTGCTATTCGGTCTCGACAAGTCGCGTCTGGTCAAGCTGGGTCACGAGGAGCGGACGTATCACGTCTTCTACCAACTCCTCGCTGGTGCCACAACAGCTGAGCGGGACCAGCTGTTGCTCGAGGATATGTCTGAATATGCGTTGCTGGCGTCGTCCGGCACGTATCGCCTTCCGGCCGGCCCTTTTTCGGATGACACCACCGGCATGGCGGACCTACGCGCGGCACTGCGCACACTTTCCTTCAAACACACGCCCGCCGTCCTCTCCCTCCTTTCCGCCATCCTTGCTTCCACTAACATTACCTTCGTGGCCGCGGACAACAACACCGAATCGTCGACGGTTGCCCCGGATTCCATCCAAGCTTTGCAGGTGACAGCCCGCTTGCTGGGTGTCCCTTCGGACGAATTGGAGAGTGCACTCACGAATCGGAGTGCCTATGTTAGGAAGGAGCTGTACACTGTGCTCTTGAACGAGCACAATGCCGTCAACCAGCGAACTGCGCTTTCCCGGGATCTCTATGCGATCTTAGTTGCGTTCGTCATGGAATCGGCAAATCGGCGCATTGAGCCGCCCAGCGGGACGAACGTGATTGCGATGCTGGATACCCCCGGTTTCTCGGCACCTGCAGCAGCCCTTGGCCCCGCGTCCTTCGAATTGTTCGCCAACAACTTTGCGGACGAACTGGTCCAGGGATGGGTGACGCAGGCTGTGTTTGCGAATGCGGAGGATGTTGTAGGCAATGAAGCGTGCCTAGAGCTGTTCCGCGGTGTGCCTGTGACAGAACCCGCTGTTATCCCCAGCAGAAAAGGAGACAAGGAAGCTCGTGGTATCCTCGGTGTCATCGGCCGAGCTAGCATTGCCTTCAAGACCGGGAAAGGCGCTGACCGGGACCGCGATGAGGAGCTTCTTGCGGAGATGGTCGGCCGTTTTTCGAGCCACGCGTCCTTCGAAACAACACCCCTGCCCCCATCTGCGGGCGGTGTTGGGACCGGCAATCTCACCGCCCGGCCACGAGCATTTGGAATCAATCATTACGCAGGGCAGTGTGCGTATGATGTGCGGGGCTTCGTGGCCGCTGATGCTGATCTGCTCGATGCCGCGCTCGTGACTCTGCTACGGGCATCAACGGTTCCGTTCGTGGCCAAGTTATTCTCGGGCCCCTCTCTTGCCGCCGAAAGCCATGCACGGGATGTCAACACCATTGTCCAGGCGCAGGTTTCTTCTCGTCCATTGCGGGGGCCCTCGCTCGGTGGAGCAGAGGAGCTTGCTCGATTCGACGCCTCCAAGACGCATCCTGCCATGGCCCAGCTCGATGGTACTCTATCCGCGCTCCTTCACGGCTCCAGGGACGGCCAAGCTCAAATGTGGACTGTCACATGTCTCCGTCCTAACGATTCCGGATCGCCCAACTCGTTCGACAAGCGGCGCATCCGAGCCCAACTCCGATCTCTTCTCGTTCCCGCTTTGGTTCAACATGTAAGCGGCGGTGATTACGTGGCAGAGATGGACGCGGATGAGTTCTGTGCTCGGTACGTTCCAACCATGCAAGGGGGCACGGAGGAGCGCATCGAGCAATGTGCGCGGGCCAACGGCTGGCGCGAAGGTTCGGACTACCGCTTCGCTGCGGGTCGGATCATGCTCGAGTATGGCGCCTGGAAGATGGTCGAGGACGTGCTAAGAGGGCAGGAGAAACGGGGAGCAGATGACCAAGAGCCTATCGACGAGCCAGATGTCGACGAGACCACCGAATACACCCACGGCCATGCCTATGAGGCAAGCACCGAGAACTTTGGCTACGGCTCTGGCGGTCTGCAGACCCCCGCTGATCCATTTGCTGGCGGCATGCCTGCACCTCCACCGGGAAGCGGAAGCGGCTGGGCTGGCTCTGACTACAAGGGCAGTCCCATGGGAACGATGGAGGGATACCCCGATTCGCCTCTTCCAATGTCCAAGGACGACCACTCGGAGGTCACTGGTGCTGGCGCCCCTGCGACCGGGTTCGTGCAGAAAGATGCTCTGCTTGCCAACAACGAAATGGAAGAGATCCCGTCTAGTCGGGCGCGGCGATTCTGGCTCGGTGTTGTCTGGACCATGACGTGGTTCATCCCAACATTCCTGCTGTCTTCCGTGGGTCGCATGAAACGTCCTGATATCCGACTGGCCTGGCGAGAGAAGGTTGCTATCTTCCTGCTCATCTTCCTGCTCAATGGGATCGTCGTGTTCTACATCGTCGTGTTCGGTCGCTTACTCTGTCCTGAATTTGCCAAGGCCTGGGGAGTGAACGAGGTTGCTCAGCACACGACGACGCAGAACTACTGGGTCGCCATCCAAGGCACTGTGTACGATGTGACCAATTTCGTGCAAGGCGACCACAGTGATATCAATTCGGAGGCGAGCAACGGCCAGGATGTGCTCACTGTTCTTGCCGGTCAGGATCTCACGTACTATTTCCCGGTCCCCCTTGTCCTGGGTGCGTTGCTTTATTTCATTGGATGATCATATTGCTAACGAGCAATCGTTGGGTTAGGTTGTCCTACATTGGTGACTGACGGGTCCATGTTCTTGACGCCGAAGAACTTCACTCAAGACGAGCCTACTGCGATGCACACCAGCGGCCAGCTGCAGAGTGTGCCAAACTCAGCGTTGCACAACAACGATTGGTACACCGCCACATTCTTGCCCAAGATGGCCAATTACAGGAAGGGTCCTGTGGTCATCACAACGGGCACCTTGAGATCGCAGGCTGCTGATACAGGCATCGCCAAGTACGTCTCTTCGATTTCTTGTTAAATTGTGGGCTGAACCGTTCGCGTAGGATTTGGGGTCGATACGGCAACAACATCTACGACTTGACGGACTACGTCAACACGCTTTCGATCAACGTGAACAACAACGCCTATGCGTTCCTCGACAACAACATCGTCTCTGTTTTCAAGCAGCAGTCTGGCCAGGATATCACCAAGCCTCTGAATGCCGTCCTGGACGCCATGAGCGCCGATCAACGTGGATTGAATATGCAGTGTCTCAACAATGCATTCTATATCGGACAGTACGACTTCCGAAAGGATGCCCGATGCACCGTCCAGAACTATCTGCTTCTTGTCGCCTCTGGAATTCTGATGGGTTCGATGGGTCTGAAATGTGAGCCGGCTCTAAGTGATTGATCAGTGCGCCTTGCTGACGCGGCTTCTTCAGTCTTGGCTGCCTTGCAACTCTCCCCGAAGCGCAACCCTGAGCTCCAAGACAAATTCGTCCTGTGCCAGGTCCCGTGTTATACCGAAGGCGAAGACTCGCTCCGACGAACCATCGATTCTCTCTCCGCACTCAATTACGATGATAAGCGTAAGCTGATATTCATCATATGTGATGGGAATATTATCGGAAGTGGGAACGATCGTACGACACCTCGTATCGTTCTGGACATCTTGGGTGTCGACCCTCAGCTCGACCCAGAGCCGCTTCTGTTCAAGTCTGTCGGCGAAGGTTCAAAAGCGCTGAACTACGGGAAAGTCTACTCTGGCTTGTATGAGTACGAGGGCCATGTCGTTCCGTGCGTACCTGTTCTCGCTGGACACTGGATTGCGCTGAGAGTTTCTTCAGGTATATGGTCGTGGTCAAAGTTGGAAAGCCTACCGAGCGGGCGAAACCCGGCAATCGAGGAAAGCGAGACTCTCAGATTCTGCTCATGCACTATCTCAACCGAGTGCATTTCGATGCTGCCATGTCACCACTGGAGCTGGAGATCTATCATCAAATGCGGAATGTGATTGGTATCGACCCGGCATTCTACGAGTACATCTTCACGATCGACGCTGATACTGTGCGTGTCTGTTTCACCCTGCGATTCGCTGTGCTAACTTGGAGGCAGTCCGTGACACCCGATTCTCTCAACCGACTCGTGGCCAGCTCATCAGACGACTCTGCGATCATCGGCATCTGTGGCGAAACGAAGCTGCAGAACGAAGAGGATTCGTGGTGGACGATGATCCAGGTCTATGAGTACTACATCTCGCACCACCTTTCCAAGGCTTTCGAGAGTTTGTTCGGCTCAGTGACGTGTCTTCCCGGTTGTTTCTCGCTCTATCGCATCCGGACAGCAGATAAGGGCCGGCCCATCATCATCTCAAACCGGATCATCGACGAATATTCGGAGCCTAATGTCGATACTCTGCACAAGAAGAACTTGTTTTCGCTCGGAGAAGATCGGTTCTTGACGACGTTGCTGATGAAACATTTCCCGACCTACAAAACCAAGTTCACGCCGGATGCGATAGCTCACACCGTTGCGCCCGAGTCGTGGAAGGTGTTGTTCTCTCAGCGACGTCGTTGGATCAACTCGACCGTGCACAACTTGTGTGAGCTTGTGCTGCTGCCTGAGCTGTTCGGGTTCTGCTGCTTCTCGATGCGTTTCTTCGTGTTCATTGATCTCCTGGGAACCCTGGTGAGTGGCCTTGCCTCATTATGGCTAGTTTTGGCTGAACTTCCCGGCTAGATCTTGCCTGCCACTGTCGTTTATCTATTTTACCTGATCATCGAAGTGGCCCTTGGGAAGCAGGCCGTCCCCATTATTGCCTTGGCTATGATTGCTGCGACGTACGGTCTACAAGTAAGTGTCTGCGGTATTTCTTTGTATGACATATTGATCTCGCGCAGGCCATGATCTTCATCCTGAAGCGCGAGTTCATGCTGGTTGGATGGATGATCGTCTATATCCTTTCGTGCGTCGACTTCTGCTCGATTGTGTGTTCATATCTTGACGACTCGTGCAGATACCCTGTTTACAGTTTCTTCCTGCCGGTGTACTCTTTCTGGTGCATGGACGAATTCGGTTGGGGTAACACGCGTTTGGTGATTGGAGAAGGCAAAGACAAGAAGGTCATCATCAATGAGGACGAGAAGTTTGACGACTCGATGATTCCGCTCAAGAAGTTCAGTGGTAAGTGCATTGGTGGATTCGATGCATTTCCTCCTGCTCACTAGTCGCGGCAGAATACGAGGCAGAAGCTTGGGAGACGGCAGATCGACACTCGGACGGCAACCACTCGGAATACAGCGGCAAGCCTCGATCGCGGTCGCGAGGGCCGTCTCCACGGCCGTATCAGGAAGCTTCTCAGGCGGGCGACTACTACCGGGACACGAATCTGACTGCTCCCCGATCTCGAAACCATGGTTCCCAGCAATCTGTGATGTCAGTTCCCCAACTGCCGTACATGCCCTTCAACGGTGGCCCTGGGTCGGTGACGGGTTCAGACCACGGGATGATGGCGCCAATGGGCTACCAGAACACAGGCAGCATGTACGGGATGATGCCCCCGATGATGACTGGCATGCCGATGTACAGCACGCCGAGCCTCAATGGGTCGCAAATCTTTGCGCCCCCTGTGATGCCTGCGGCGGGTGGGATCCCGCGGCCGATGTCGACGCTGTCTATGGCGACGACAGCGAATCTGTTTGCGTCTGGGCCGAGCCAGAACCCGAACCCATCGGACGACGATCTGTTCAATGCGCTGAGGAATTATCTGAGCACACAGGATCTCATGACTGTTACGAAAAAGTGTGTGGTTGTGTTGTTGGCTGTGTATCGAGGCTGACCGGATGCGCAGAACTGCACGCGAAGCTATCGCTGCCAAGTTCCCGAACGCAGATCTTACTTCTCGCAAAGAGTTTTTGAACCGTTCGATCGACACGATCCTTTCAGAGTCATAGATTATCTCTCCTTCAGCATTATGGACTAGCACAATACACAACTTAGCGTACACTACATTACTTAGTCAGACTTGCTTTGCATTTGGACGCGGTACTTATGGACTGGTAAATCTCATGTACATTGTTTTAACTTGACAATCGTGAAGTAAGTTCAGCCAAATGACACGGGTATTGAATGAATGCCCAGCTCATTCAATCATTTACGTGTTCTGGCCTTCACAGGCGTCGCCGCTACCAGAGTGACACCCTCTCTGCGCTCCTGTTCCCTCGCCGCAGCCAAGCGCGCCGACTCGTCAGCCCTCTTCTTCTCCTCTGCAGCCTTTTCTTTGTCCTTTCCCCGCCGCTGCGCCTCCGCAGTGTCCCGTTCCCGCGGCTTGAATGCGCGTTTCATGCTCACCTCGCGCGTCAGTACGCGCTTGCGGGCCCCGACGCTGCCTTCGCGCTGTTGCTGCTGCTCCCGCTCGCGTTCCTCCGCCAGGATGATCGAGTGTGAGCGTGATCGAGCCCGGGCAGGCGCCTCCAGTGTGGATCCCGACGACGACGACACCGGTTCTGGGATCGCGGACGAGCGGGCGCGTTTTGGCGCCTTTGATGGTTCCGGAGATGCTGAGCGCTCGTCGTCTTCGGTGTCTGAGTGGTCCGAGAAGGGTGAGTGGGGGAAGATCTTGGATCGCAGCAGCGCGGTCTGCTCGGGCAGCAGGGATGAAAACCTGATGAATATAGTAGGAGAAAGTGAGTGCGCAAGTAGGCGGTGCGAGATTGGGAACGCACCGTTTCTCGACGACGTCTTCGCAGAAGACCTGCATCCAGTCGCGGTCTTCCGTCTTGTGCAGTAGCCCGGTATCGAGGGTGTTGACCAGCTGCCACATGGAAAGTTTGTCCATGAACGACTCGAGTTTGTCCTCCAGAGTCGGCGGCGGTGGCGGCGCCCGCTCCCCCGGCTTCCTAAGTTTCCGGTCCGGAGGCGGCTGAAATGCTGGTGGTGGAGGCGGCGGTGGCCCGGGCAGAGACATCTTGAGGAAATGAAGTAGGATTTGGATGAGAACTCTTCCCGGGGTCAGTCTCGGAGCATGCGGAGGGTGAAACTGGTTGGGTCTCACTCTCGCTGCTGCATTCGCTCCGTCCACTTCGTTCGCCATGCGTCGTTGAGCCACGGTTCCTGCCCATCGACCTCTTCCTCCTCGTACTTCTCGTGCGAAATCGCGTACCACATCATGGTCTCCTCCTCCTCACCCTCCCCACCGCCGTTCGCCAGGATGTGCGACAGGTCTACTTGATATTTGCTTGTCACTGCGCGCGGGGCGAGCAGTAACCGCTCGATCTTGGCGTGCAGGGGGTGATACGGGGTGCTCGGGTCGTCGGACTCGGGCTGCACGCGTAGCAGTGATGGGATAAGTAGGTCCAGCGGCATGACTGACTGCAGATCCAACCCTCAGAAAATCCAGGCGAGTCATGGTGGAGGATGCTACGACCCACCTCTGGTAGCCAGAGGAACTGGAAATACGTCCGCGCGACGTAATCATCGCACGACTCTTCGGCGGCGTTGAGTGGGTATTCGCGGGAGATTGATTTATCTTGAGACGCTGTCCATTGGATGCGCGGTGATGTAGGGAGAGTGAATTGTAGCGACTTGAGAGCCATTCGACGCGTCGTCAAGTTGTCACCGTCAAGTGAGAGGGGGTGGGTCACACGACATGTGAGGTGACAGAACGCTAACGTGACAAATGAGGCTTCCCCTCGAACCGCCACCGTGAAAGCAATGTTGTTTCCGCTCCGCTTCAGCACCGCATTGCTTGATAAACGAACTCATCCGATACGCACACGCAGCCTTCTCAGCTTCTGGGAAGCGACCTCGCTCACTGTCTCCTGATGTCGGAACATCTATCCCGAGTCTTTGAAAGCACTCCGCGTCTATCCCGGTCGACTCTGATGACGTTTGGATGATCAAGACGCCTTAAAACATGATTTCGAGACCTGTGTGCTTCCGTGGTTAAATATGAGCCTACAAGCCCTTAGTAACCAGCATGTCGTCCTCTTGCGCGTCTTTCTCTTTCCCCCCAAGCAGCGACCAGGTCTATTGGATGTCTGTCAAGCACACGCATGTATTGATTCATTCTCAGACGTCTCTCAAAGAGTCTGTGATGGGAGGCTCACCTATCCCGTCGAGCCCGGAAGGAAAGGAAAGTCGTGCATCGAAGCAGCGCTCAGTCTGTGTCTTGACGATCGTTCTAGCTGTGCTTTCAAGTGGAAGACCCTCAGGACCCACGGAACTTCTCAAGTTTGAAGAAATGGAGCATCATTCTACCTCCAATACTCATGGTCATCTTCCTCTGTAATCGGATCTCATTTAACGATGCGTTCGCACCGACTCTGACCCCATCCCCAACAGCCTCATCGGCGTCCAGCTTCGCTCTCGGTCTCCCGAGCATGACGGCTGATCTGGGATGCTCGCAGTTCGAGGCGTATCTCGCGCTGGGAATGTTTCCGCTCGGCTTTGGCGTCGTTCCGTTCTTCGCGTCCCCGCTGAGCGAGAGCTGGGGAAGACGCCCCGTCTTCCTGCTTTCCGGACTCCTTTTGGTCCTCACGCATATCATGGCTGGACTGTGCGTAGCATCATGGTCTTTACTTCAAATCTCTGACCAGCCCGACAGAGCCCGGAATACAGCCACGGTGGTTGTCGCCCGCTTCTTGCAAGGATCCTCCGCTATTCTGGTCAACGTCGTCGGCGGGGCGATTGCCGGTGAGTGCCATAGTAGCGAAGGACCCCCAGCTGTCTCACGAAGGGCTTAGATATGTGGCTTCCGATAGACCGTGGACTGCCCATGGCCGTGTTCTCCGCTACTGCAATGGGCGCGAACGGTGTTGGCCCCATCTTCTCTGGCTGGATAGAACAGAGCCCTTTGCTCGGTTGGCGCTGGATTCAATGGGTTCATCTGATGTAGGTCTTTCACCGTCTTTGTAAATCCACTGATGCAGACCAGCATGCTGCAGCTGCCTGACAGTCTTTGGGGCAGCGATGTTTTTGACCACACGCGAGACACGATCCGCGGTTCTAATTGGACGTAAATCGGAATATGGAGCTCCCGCCGATAGGCAGAGCTTACGACACGCGATTTTGGTATCGTGCACCCGGCCATTCTGTCTGTCGCTCGCTACTTTCCCGCGCAACATAATTTACTCCTGAGGCAGATTTCCTGATCAGGGAACCTGTCGTGACGAGCTTCAGCGTAAGTTTCGCCTATTCCTTTTGCATTGCGTCACATTCGTCGCAGATCTGGATCTCATTTGTCTGGGGAGTTTATTACGGCATTCTTGCATCTCTCCCAGCTATTCTCCGCACTGTGCATGGGTTTTCCGCGAGTTCCGTAGGGCTTGCATACATTGCCATCATGTTCGTCCGCTCCCCTGGTCCTGTCAATGTGACAGCGGCGACTGACCGATCATGCACAGTCTGGGAGCGGCGCTCGGATTCTGCACGAACCTCTGTTTAGAGCGATATCAGTCCACGCGAAGCATCGATCCGACGCCCGAGAGCCGGCTCGCCTATGCATGTGTTTCGGCGGTCGTGTTCCCCCTGGCAATGGTCTTCTTCGCAGTATGTTCGATTCCTTCGGTGCATTGGGCTGCGCTGGAAGTCGCTCTTGTGGTACGTGCGATCTTCGGGACAATTCGATCCAGAACTAATCGTGGTAGCTCTGCGTATGGTCAATATTCGGAGTCTATGGCGCCGTCTTTGCATATTTGACAGACTGGTGAGCACATTTTTATTACGTCTGTTGTTGCCGTTCTCGAACAAGTCTAAAATAGCTATGGCCCATACGCATCATCCGCTTTGGCAACGCAGTCGCTTCTGAGTGAGATACTTTCCGATCTCACAAATCAATCGAGGATCGACCTGCTTCAGGAAACATCGCAGGCGCCGGTTTTCCTCTATTCATTAACAAGATGTTCCAGGCGTGGTCGTTTCGTTCATGCAACCTGTTCTTCGCTGGAATGGCTGTGTTATTGATTCCGATCCCATTCGTGAGTTGCGTTTTCTATCTCCGGTCTATTGACGAGCCTCGCTTTGGCAGATTCTCGTCAGATTCGGACCCAATCTCCGGGCAAAGAGCCCGTTTTCCGATGAAATCATGAATCCGAGAACGGAGAGGTGATACAATGCAGTAATAATGACTTCATGTCCGGCCCGGAACGGACACTTTCACAGTTGGCCGCAGATGTAGGAGATGATACGCACTAGTCCTCCGGCTACTCGTTCAGTAGAGAGACTCTCGTCGACCGGAGGACAATGAATGAAGAGCACCGGGGTCTTGCGACCCGCTCTTTGGGACTCGGCGAGCGAGCAGTAGTAGATGAAGTCGCATAAAAAACGACCTGCGTCATTGGAAGTCACGATCTCCTGCGAAGGAAGTCAGCGCAAGCTGAAAGCATGATTAGCACGTGTAAACCACCCACCAACGGATCAGCATCCGTCGTCAAATGCGCCGTGAGGCCATCCACGTCCACCGCCGTCCGCAGCTCGTCCGCGAACTCCACGCCGTACCTCGCCCCGCCGAACCCGCGCCTGCCTAGCCCGATCTCCGGCGCGAACGCACCCTCGTGGTCGGGCGAGCGGTAGCCCGATTTATGCCCCAGGCGCTCGGCGCGCAGGATGCCTGGTCCTGCCACGCCCACGTGCACGATGAGAGAGTAGCCATCTTCTGGCGGGGCGAGCGATGTCCCCTCTGGGGGGAGATCGGAGGCCGGGAGCACCGGGGGCGCGGCGTGCAGCCCCGGGACGGTGCGCAGGACGGCGGAGTAGACGACCGGCATATAGAGAGAGGTGATGTGGACAAGTTCCGGTTTGCCGCCCTTCGGAGGCTGCCCGCGTGGAGGGGTGGTGTTGATGACGAGGTCGTGGAGCGTCTGCACCGCGAGCCAAGACGGATTGTTCACAATCGTGTGGAAAGGCTGTGAATGGATGCATAGATGGGAGGGAGAGAACGATAAGCGCGTTGGAATGATGAGACCCGTGCACAAACGGACGTACGCCGAAGCCGGTGATGAGAACGCGGTGCTTGATAGAACCATCCGCCATTGCCTTGATTTCAGCGGTTGCGCTTAGAGTGGATAAGGGGGACTGTAGTATCGGGAGACGAGTAAGCTCGCGCTGATATATATACTGTGTGAAGCAGGACAATCGGCCATCGCCGGGGTCAGATGGGATGATGAGATCAGGTTCCGTGTCCGGTCACAAGATCGCGATTTCAACCTTGCCAACTGCGTTCATGTCGGTCTTCACCCTACCCAACGAGCTTCTTCTTCATATCTGCTCTCAATTCCTGCCTCCTCCAGACATCCTGACGCTCCGACAGGTCTGATCGCCCACTCTTAAACCCGCCAGTCGATTGATCTGAGCATCGCGGCAGACTTGTCGCAAGTTTGCCAACGTGAGCCGGGACAGAAGCCTCTGGCTGCACTTCCTCCGCGGATTGCGGCGCAGAGGGGATGTACCACTTCCAGAGGCGGCGGATCGCAGTGCCGCCTTCTCAGGAGACCTTGAACGCATCGTCATCGCAGCATCGAGGACGGCGGATACTTGGCAGCTCCCACGCGCCCCGATCCACTTCTTTACTCCTTATCGGGGAGAAACGATTCTCGGCCTCGAGATATTTGAAGATTTGTGGATCCTCATTTTGTACACCAATGGCCTCGTGTATCTGCACAGAACAAACTCGCCGGAGAGCCCACCGGTGGCGGAGATATCCCTCCCAGCGGATACACGATGGCGCTCGTATTGTGCGCGCATGCTCAACAATACCGTATTTTTCGCGATCTCAGACTGGTCAGTTGTAGTCTCCAAATCGCGTCTCGATCTCAAACGCAGCGTAGGTCCGACTCGTGTGAAACTCGTCTGTATGCCATTGACACGAGATCCCCGGGACTGGAACGAGGTTTCGAGTTGATTCACAAGTTCTTTACGGCGGAGAGGACGGTCTGCGCGCTTGACCCAACAAAAGAACTGCTTTTCATGAACACGGCTGATGAAGTCCTGGATATAATTCAGTGGGGGAAAAATCCGAGTTCCGTGACACAATTCTCAGTGGAGAACGAGGCGGATGAGTTTGTGCGATCTCTCCCATCGATGAAATCCAACTGGCTGAATGCAAGTAGTATAATGGTGTTTTGGCGCTTCGGTGCGTCGCGAACGGCTTTCTCCTCGTTCGGATGCACACGATCGAGCTTCGTCGAACAAAGTCATCGTCCTTCGAACAAGACGGTGACGCCATCACACATCGCCTGCCGCACTCTCTGAGGGAGAAAAACATATCCATGTCCGAGATCCAACTCGATGGAAAGACCAGCACAGCTCGAATCCATCTTCTGGTGCACGACTCCCACGACCTGAATTATTACACGATCACCGTGAGCGCAGCAGACGACGGAGCGCTTTCTCTGAATGTCGCCCATGCGCGGACGACTCAACCGGCCCAAACGCAGGTCCCCCATTACCAGCGCCCGTTCATCAGTACCCATGCACTGGGCTCGCAGGGAATCCGCGCGGTGTGGATCGAACGCGAGAGCTTACGGATGAGCAGGTGTGTGCGTCTGTGCGCCATCGCGAACACTCGCGCCCGCGAGGACATGCAGATGGAAAGCGCCGCCACCGTGTTCGAATCGTCCTCGTACGATTTACGAGGTGCGGTTGATTCTATTTTTTATTTATTTATCTCGTTTCCAGTCTGATATCGTGATCTCGATAGACGATTGGACACACTGTGCAATCGGGGAGATGAGCGGGGTCGCGGTGCTGGGTAATAGAGCCGGACAGGTTTTTGTGCTACCAATTGGCTATGGCAGGGTGAGACAGGTGAAATCCAAGCTTGACAGGCATTCGAGTACCATCGAGATTATCAAACATTGATCAAGGGTTGTGGAGAAACGTTCGCCGAGTCACACCCAGCAGCAGATGCTCATGAGACACGTACCATGTGATTGTGAGTGAGAGGATAGAGTGTTTCTGAATTGCCGATTCGAGTGCTTTGCTGACTTTTTGTTTCGCAAAGCCGAGGATTTGCAAGATTAGATTTGAAGCCGGGCCGTTTTCTTCGCCGCTTTCGCAACACCGCTCTTGATGTTACCGATGGCATAAGTTGAACCTCAGCATTTGCGCGAGATCATCCATGCCAAACAGTGAGATAGTCTACGCCCAAGGACCAGACAAAGATTTTGTGTCAGATTCCAATCAGTTTGGCCTTCCACCTGGGTTGCTCTGAACTTGTAATACATACATAATATGGAACACTAATGTTCGCATCGGTTCCGTGGAGTAGGAAAAACCATTGCTTGATCATCGACGTCGTCATGCGGACTTGGTGAGCAGTGCGCTCTCGATTATATTCGGCATCCTAATCTTGTCTTGAACCAGACACGCGAAATTATTTAAGGCGCCAGAAAGCATGACCCTCCTCAACTCATCCGGCACACTACTATGAAGCTCATCATCACAGGCGCAACGGGCTACGTCGGAACAGAGACCGTGTCTCAAGCTTGCAAGGATCCCAGAATAACTTCAGTGGTCGCTGTCTCGCGTAAACCGATTCCAGCTCCCGAAGGCACGCCTGCAGGCAAATTCAAGAGCGTCGTCGTCAGCGACTACGACCAGTATCCCGACGAGGTGAAGAGGGAGTTTGCGGGCGCCGCTGCGTGTATCTGGTGCGTGAATCGCTCATGGATAAATCCCCATTGTCAATTGGAATCAGGACGGTGGGCATCACGCCGCCCAAGTCGGTGGAAGTTGGCCCAGCAGAAGCCAAGCGCATTTCCCGCATATCGACGCTCGTCGGCATCCAAGCGCTCGCAGATTCGTCTCCTGCCAAGCCGTTCCGATTCTGCTATATGAGCGGGTCCGGAGCCATCCGAGACCAAACCGCGAAGGTTGAAGGAGAATTTGCGGAGTTTTATCTGATGCGCGTGAGCTTCCGGACGCACTCCACTTGTCGGATATGAGTATCACTCACCGATGGCGCAGGGTGATGTGGAAAATGCCGTCTTTGATTTGGCGGGCGAGCTTGACGGATTCGAGGCGTGTGCGGTGAGACCGGGAGTGATCACCGAGCGTGCTAAGATAGAAGACTCGCGCGACTTCGCGAACAAGAACGGCTGGCCCATTATCGCCACGGAGGATTGCGTCGCGTTGATGCTGCATCTGGTCGTCAACGGTTTCGAGAAGGATATACTGTCGAATGACGAGATGGTGGCTGCTGCAAAGCAAATCTAGGTAACCTACTGTACAACGCACCTTCCTTTGAGCATCTAGCACCGCACGCCCCAAACAATTTTGTAGCCTTGACCGAAATACTTTCATTGCCATTGATGATGCAAATCTTGGATCTGTGACTTACCCGCTGAGAGATGTTCTTGAGATTCATCACTCACCAGGGCTTATGGTGGAGTCCCCATGGTCTGATCTTACGCGGGTCGGGCATCAATGCATCGACGTCTAACCCCTTTGGGTAATCGCATCACTCCTTTTGTCGCCTTCCATCAGCTTGTTACGCTCTCATTGGCTCCTGACGCCTATCTCCGAGATAATCTTACTTCTAGGACTGAAATTTGAGCCATTCTAATCATAGGACCTGAAGTAAGCCTAGGCACGGCATCCTTGAAGCTATTTTCCTCGAGAGACGCGCGGAAGGTCGACTGTTAAGTACAGGTTGGGGGCGAGGCATTCACATCTTCACTCCTTATTGGGGAGAAACGATTCTTGGCCTCGAGATGTTTGAAGATTTGTGGATCCTCATTTTGTACACCAATGGGCTGGTGTACCTGCACAGAACAGACTCACAGAGAGCCCGCCGGTGGCGGGAACAAATTCGCGAGATCCCGGTGTGACTGAAAGAGTGAGGATGATTTACACGCTTTGGGTGTCCGACTAGGATTCTCGAACAATGATGAACGACTGCGGCGGCCGGATGGATCAGAAACGAGTATCCTCGAAGGCACGTCTAGGCACGTCCGATGATGAGGAATACATTCCTGCGCTGATACACAGCGTCGAAGTCGTCGGTGGCATTTTGTCTAGCGAAGTCCAGGATTTTCAACACTAGATTTGAAGTCTGTTTGTCATTGTGCACCAACGGGTGCTTGGTGGGATTCTTGAATCAGCACAATGATTACTGCTATCGAGCTAGTAGTAGTGTCTTGGCGGTGCGCCTTGTCGCGGAATTCTCAAAACATAAGACAATTTTTGGCCTTCTGTCTGAAGTAAGTACTGAGCTTGTTACTCACCGTGGAACATGAATTCTCGGTTCGCTTCCGAGCTTTGATTGACAGGATGTGATCAACCTTGGTCATGCCCACCTTGTGAGCAAGGCTCCAGTGACGAACACCCGGCATCCCACTGGAGGGTATTTAAAGCGGCCTCGGCAAAGGCGACCCCAACCCATCTGACAGCACAACCATGAAGCTCATCATCACAGGCGCGACGGGCTACGTCGGCAAAGAGACTGTGTCTCAAGCGTGCAAGCATCCGGGAATCACCACGGTTGTTGCGGTCTCCCGAGCGCCGATTGCGGCTCCCGAAGGCACACCGGTGGGCAAGTTCAAGAGCGTCGTCGTGAGCGACTACGACCAGTATCCCGACGAGGTGAAGAAGGAGTTCGCCGGCGCCGGCGCGTGCATCTGGTGCGTCACTTCATCCTTGATCGATGAACGAACCGCCGCTGATGTCTCGAATCAGGACAGTGGGCATCACACCCCCGAGATCCATCGTCGTTGGCCCGGAGGAGGCGAAGCGCATCTCCCGCACATCGACGCTCGTCGGCATGCAAGCGCTCGCAGACGCGTCCCCCGCCAACCCGTTCCGATTCCTCTACATGAGCGGGTCCGCGGCCGTCCGGGACCAGACCGCGAAGGTCGACGGGGAGTTCGCGGACTTCTTCCTCATGCGTGTGAGCTTCCCTCTCCGGCCGCACGCGACTGCGCGGCAATCCGCATGACTGACTGACCCACACGTTGCCCAGGGCGACGTCGAGAATGCGGTCTTCGATTTGGCGGGCACGCTCGCTAGCTTCGAGGTGTGTGTGGTGCGGCCGGGGATGATCGTTGAGCGCGTCAAGGTGGAGGAGTCGCGCGAATTCGCGACGAAGAATGGCTGGCCGATTATCGCCGTGGAGGATTGTGTTGGATCGATGCTGCATCTCGTCATCAACGGATTCGAGCAGGAGTCGGTGTCGAATGACGAGATGGTGGCGGTTGCAGAGCGAATCTAGGTGGTCTACTTGCTCCTGTCTCCCTTTAAGCATCCCGTAATGCATGCCCAACCAACTTGGTTGGTCTGAGCGAGATATTTCAATTCTATTGAATATGTAGATCTCGGCTCTGTGTCCACAAGCTATACTTAAAATATTGCTGAGACACATGTCCAATCTCATCTCCTGATCGACGGCCTGATCTTTAGCCGACCAGACAATCAAGGCATCAGATTCAACCCCTTTGGGCAAATGCATTACTCGTTTTGTCACCTTACATAACCGATTTGCACCTAATCAACGGATGAACGGGTGAACGGGTGAATGACCTGAGAATCGAGCAGCCCTAATATGCCTTGTGTGATATGTTTATGGGTGATATCGGCAGAGCATAAATTGATGTTCGAGAATTCAACTCAAATAGCCACACTGGCTACCAATAAATGCCTTTTTCTCATTGCTCTGGGATGCATTAAAAGGCTGAGAATATGCCTTTTGTAATATTACATGAGGTTCTATTGAATTCGAAAGATCCTCAGAGGACCCTCAAGGACTGGTACCTTGTACGGGGGCCCCTCTATTTTATAAAGTGTTGGGAACTACGTTGAGTAAAACTTGAATGAACCAAGTGCGCAACATGTGCCCGGCTTCGATCAGCCGAGTTACATGCCGTGGAACGTCATCGGGTGGATAGGACTCAGCACGAAGAACCGTGAACTTATTACATAAAGTAGAACATGGATTTTTGCGTCGCTTGCGAGCGTTGATTGACAAAATGTAATCGACTCGGTCATGGCCACGGTGAGCCGGGCTCAAGTGACGAATACTCGGCATCCCTGCAGGGTATATAAGACCGCCTCAGTCGAGAGGTGACCATCGAATCACCCAGCACAACCATGAAACTCATCATCACAGGCGCAACTGGCTACGTCGGAAAAGAGATCGTGTCTCAAGCTTGCAAGCATCCGGGATTTACGAAAGTAGTCGCAGTCTCCCGAAAACTGATCCCCCCTCCCGATGGCACGCCGGCGGGCAAGTTCCAGAGCGTCGTCGTCAGCGACTACGACCAGTACACAGACGAGGCCAAGAAGGAGCTCGGCGGCGCCGGCGCGTGTATCTGGTGCGTGCATCGCTGCTTCTGGAAGAATTCCCCGGGCCGCTGACACGCTAAATTAGGACGGTGGGGATCATACCCACGAAATACATCGAAGTCGGCCCGGAAGAAGCGAAGCGCATCTCCCGCACATCGACGCTCGTCGGCATGCAAGCGCTCGCGGAAGCGTCCCCCTCCAACCCGTTCCGGTTCCTCTACATGAGCGGGTCCGGGGCCGTCCGGGACCAAACCGTCAAAGTCGAAGGCGAATTCGCAGACTTCTTTCTCATGCGCGTGAGCTGCCTCCAGACGCACTCGACCCACCAGCAATTATTCTGACTCGTACCTTGTGCAGGGCGACGTCGAGAACGCGGTCTTCGATTTGGCGGGCAAGCTCGCTGGATTTGAGGCGTGTGCGGTGAGACCGGGATTGATCACCGAACGCGCCAAGGTAGAAGAGTCGCGCGAGCTCGCGATCAAGAACGGCTGGGAGATTATCGCCGTGGAGGATTGTGCGGCGTCGATGCTGCATCTCGTCATCAACGGATTTGAGAAGGACTTGTTGTCAAATGACGAGATGGTGGCTGTTGCGGAGCAGATCTAGGTGGCTTTGCCTGCTCCTTCCTCTGAGCAACAATTACCGCATGCCCCAAACAATTTTATGACCTAGCAAGACATTCTGATATTCATCAATTATGCAGCCCTAGACTCGAACACTCAAAGAACATGGAATTTTGCTGATTTTCCCCACTCGTTAGTCTCATGAACTGACCTTACCGGTTTCATCTTGCGCGGAGGAGACATCAAGGCATCAACCTCCAACCCCTTTGGGCAAGTATATTACTCGTTTTGTCACCTTACATCAGCCCGTGGCATTTCATTAGCTCACTCCTACCATCCCTATAAACTCGCAGATCGTGGAATCTCTACAACTTGCGCGAAAATTTGGAAAACATCAAGATAATGAGGGCTCGTATAGGCTTCCTGACACCTGCTACCGAGTTATTCTCACTTTCGGTGGCGGTATTCAGGCAATCTTTGTCATGGGACCCGAAGCAAGCGAGATCACGATATGTCTGGAGGCTGCCTCCGATAAGTACGCAAAAATTTGGCCAGTATAGATTGGGGTACACGGGAAGGTCCCGGAATGAGCGAGCACGACTGACACGATACGTCTCCGAGCAAATCCAACCTAATTTCCCAGGAGTGGGGTCGGGCCGCAGAGAGATCGCCGCCGGTTTAGTTGGAGAAGTTTCGAGATCGGCAAACAGCCGGCGTTAGGCACATGCTGTGTGATTCTCAGAATTAGAAACACAATCCGACACGGGTGGGGCACTGCGTCACGAGCTGCTTCCCACTTACCAAGCAGAGAGTCTCGGTGGCTTCTTTCCTTGCGAAGTCCATGATTCGTAAGACCAGATTTGTAGACGGCCCGTTTTCCCCAGCTGGTTTCGCAGAGTTGTGGCAAAACGGAACGTTCCCGTTTGATGGGTACCGATTAGACAGGTGCCAAGAGCAGTCAGCACAGCCATCGATTTCGTCTCCATTTCTCCATGCCGCGGAGGGAAAACGCGCCATTTATGGGCATCTAGAAGCAGTCGCGCTAGGTTATTTAAGCGCCAGTGGACATAGCTTGTAAGTCATCCAACACACACACACCATGAAGCTCATTATTACCGGCGCGACTGGCTACGTGGGCAAAGAGACCGTGTCTCAAGCGTGCAAGCACTCCGGAATCAGCACCGTGGTTGCTGTCACGCGCAAACCGATCGCAGCTCCCGAAGGCACGCCTGCGGGCAAGTTCAAGAACGTCGTCGTGAGCGACTACGACCAATACACAGACGAGGCCAAGAAGGAGTTCGCCGGGGCAAATGGATGTATTTGGTGCATCACAGCATCGCTGATCGACTAGACGAATCGCCACTGACCAGACAAAACAGGACGGTCGGGATCACGCCTCCCAAATACCTCGAAGTAGGCGCGGCGGAGGCCAAGCGCATCTCGCACACATCTACGATCGTCGGGCTGCAAGCGATCGCGGATTCAGCCCCGTCGAGGCCGTTCCGATTCTGCTACATGAGCGGGGGAATGTCCGTTCGGGACCAGACCGCCGCGGTCGAAGGAGAATTCGGCGAATTCTCGCTCATGCGCGTGAGCTCTTGTCCGCCGTCGACGTGGGAATCACCGTTCGCTCACACAGCGCACAGGGCGACGTCGAGAACGCCATCCTCACATTCGCAGCTGAGCATCAAGGCTTCGAGGCGTGCTCGGTGAAACCGGCATGGATCGTCGAGCGCGCGAAGGTGGCGGAGTCGCTGCAATTAGCGCAGGAGAGAGGCTGGGAGATGATCGTGCTCGAGGATTGCGCCAGCGCGATGCTGCATCTCGCGATGAATGGGTTCGAGAAGGAACCGTTGTCGAACGATGACCTGATAGATATCGCCAAGCGCATTCAGGCCATGTAAGCGTCGTCCATGCTGTTAGTAGTCAGTCTCTGGAATTGTACCACGCGAAAAGTTCAAATAATGAGTGGCACCATCGCTGCCGACAATGCAGCAGTTTTGGTGTGTGTCGAGCGGCATTATTTGGTTGGTTTCGGATATTTCTATTGGGCACAGGGTGTGTGGAGTTCGGGTAGATCCCAAAATGCGAGTTCTAGTCACTTCGATGAAGACTCAGTCCATTAGTGATGTTGTCCACCCTATATAAGGTCCAGCGGTCCTCGTTATGACACGGAAAGCAGCATGCTCTTGTCAGGACGCAGTCGATTGAGTTGCCGCGATCAAGGCCGGGATCGTGCTCAGTCATGGACTTGGTCAAGCGATATGACTCCTACGGGTTTTACCGAGAGGTTATCACAAACAGCACATCAGCGCTCTTTCGGCTACTACATTACTTGAATCGTTAGCTTGACACCCGACCGTTCTTCTCTGATAATACCCGATCAGGATCTTTCAACCTTCCACTCGTCTGAGATTTGAACTGATTGACTGGTCCGAAACGGTAGTCACTTATCGAAAAACCGGGTATTCAAGCCATCTTCACAAGCTGCTTCAGTCAAATTCAGGTTGCAAATAGTCCAGGTACCGGTAGAACTTGGCAACGATAACTATTAGTAGAGATTGAATTTCTTCTCCAAAACTGTCGCTCTTTGCAATGGTCAACTAACCAAATGCCACAGCTCCCGGAGTGAAAAAAAACCTGCTGTAGACTAGTTTTATCTCGACATGAAGTAGCGTGATGCTAAATGCCATTTTGAGGGCTGGCTGATGCAAATCGTGTGACTTATGACATAGATAAGTAAGATACCAGCCTAAGAGTGGGATCAAAAGCCAATTGAATCACGCGGATGGGAATCCGCTCCTCCATTGACGTTCGATGCGTCGACTAGAGGCTACGAGAGGCCCCTGATCAGAGGCTGTGACGGCTATGTCATTCGGAGTATGTGTGCATTCAGAGACACATGGCAGGTGCGGCTAGTGCAGGCTTAGTCATCCGAACTTCTTCCTTACTCATCCGTTGGCCTTGTCGGCTTTGTGACGCCCATACCACGCTCAAGATTCGCCAGGCTTGATTTGAAGACGAGCCGTTTATCCATGACTTTTTTGGCTTACTAATGGGGATGTTAGAGTTCTCCTCGATTCATGGGACTGCAGCTTCGACCAGCCATCATTTTCGCGTCAATCTTACCGGATAAGCAAGCATGTACAGCGACGCTGACTGAGGTTCAGTTCACATTGGCATCTCGAAGAAGGCCCATACTCCAGATTATTTAAGCGCCAGGGAAATGGCAGAGCTTGCAACTCATCCGGTGCGGTACCACTATGAAGCTCATCATCACCGGCGCGACAGGCTTCGTTGGCAAAGAGATTCTGTCTCAAGCGTCGAAGCATCCGAGAATCACCAGCATAGTCACAGTCTCTCGCAGTGCGATCGCGGCTCCCGAAGGCGTGCCGGCGGACAAATTCCAGAGCCTTGTCGTGAGCGACTACGACCAGTACACCGACGAGGCGAAGAAGGCGTTCGCCGGGGCGGGCGCGTGCATCTGGTGCCTCACTTTGTCTCTGATCGATGAAAGGATCGCCGCTAACGAGTCGGATCAGGACGGTGGGCCTCACGCCGCGAAAGTACGCGGCAGTCAGCCCGGAGGAAGCCAAGCGCATATCCCATGCATCGACACTCGCTGGATTGCAGGCGATCGCGGAGTCGGCCCCCGCCGAACCGTTCCGGTTCTGCTACATGAGCGGGGCGGGGGCCGTCCGAGACCAAACCGCCAAGCTCGAAGGCGAGCTCGCTGAGTTCCGCCTCATGCGCGTGAGTCTCCTGCCCTTTTGACGTGGATAGCATCAATATTAATGGCCTTGCTTGCGCGCATAGGGCGACGTCGAGAATGCCGTCCTCGCATTCGCGTCTGAGCACGCAGGCTTCGGAGCGGCCTCGGTCAGACCGGGACTGATCACTGAGCGCGCGAAACTCGAGGCGTCGCGCGAGTTCGCGGAAAGCAAAGGCTGGCCGACTGTTGCCCTCGAGGATTGCGTCGCCACGATGCTGCACCTGGTCGTCAATGGGTTCGAGAAGGATCCGGTGTCGAACGACGAGCTGACGGCCATTGCGGGGCGAATCTAGGCAGTGTGCAACCGGCTCATCCCATCTGTAATACCAAGACATAAACAATTCTGTGATTTCAGCTTGAACATACTTTTGAAATGAGCTGCCCAGGTCAGATCTTGGATGTCGGTGACAAATATCCTGCAAGAATACAGTTCCGGAAATTCCTCGAATCTCGATCGTCTTGCTAGACCATCTACTTATCAAGTCGATCCTGGCGAATCCTGCAATGAGAAGTGAAGCTGTCTGACAAAGTGGCTGAAAAGGATGCACAGACTAACAACAAAGACTGCAGCGCTTCTGAATCATACGTCGCGAAGAGAGCGTTCTTTTGCTGCGAGAGGCAATCTGGCCCATGAGCAGCTTTCACTACAGATTCTGGGCTTAAGATCACGCCACAGCTAACGCGGATGGTGTGATTATTAACAATTATGTGGATTTCTCCGGGACGCCGAGCCAGACTTGAGCTTGCATATATCTTATGTAACAGCCTAAATATCATCCCACGGCCGTTGCACTTTTTCGAGTCCGACGGAAAATTTTGTAGAAGGAGAATTGCACACAAACCATTTCCTGAATCAGCGTTGGGAAAAACAGAGCGCGACGCATGACCATTGACAAGCTCAGAATCAACGTGACCGCGTTCTGACATAATGGAATTCTGACCGGATCACATCCGTGCTGTCAGCTTGAACACGGTGTGGGGTCATCGCGAATTCGTCAGGTCCGGTCTGCTTCCGCCGTTCATCCACAATAAAATCGACACCTACTGAACGACCATGTCCAAGCCACTAGGACTAGCTACTCGCCTCACCTACATCTATACACCATGAAACTTATCGTCACCGGCGCAACCGGATTCGTCGCCACCGAGCTGCTGCGCCAGGCGGCCAAGCACCCCGCCATCACCAGCGTGGTCACGGTTTCGCGATCGCCAGTCACGATTCCCGAGGGCGTGCCCGCGGGCAAGTTCACGAGCGTGATCGTGCGCGACTACGACCAGTACACCGAGGAGGCGAAGCGCGCGTTCGCCGGCGCCGGCGCGTGCATCTGGTGCGTGCATCGCGGCAGGCGCGTGCAAAATGGACCTCAGACGGAAACGCACACAGGACGGTGGGGCTCACGTCGCGCAGATACGCCGAAATGGACCACGCGGAGGCCACGCGCATCTGCCACACGGCCACGCGCGTCGGGCTGCAGACGAACGCGGCGGCGGCCCCTGCGACGCCCTTCCAGTTCCTCTACATGAGCGGGGGCTCGGCCGTCCGGGACCAAAGCACGAAGCTGGAAGGACCCCTTGCCCGTTTCTACCTCATGCGCGTGAGCATGCTTCCTAGCGCGTTTTCTTTACCACTCACACTCAAATAAATGCGCAGGGCGACGTCGAGAATCTCGTCCTTGCCTTCGCTGCGGAGCAAGACGGCTTCAAGGCGGGCTCGGTGAGGCCGGGACTGATGAAGATGCGCGCCCAGTTGCCGGAGATACTGCCCATGGCAGAGAAGAACGGCTTGCCGACTATCGCCCTCGAGGACTGCTGCAGCGCGATGCTGGACGTGGTTATCAATGGATTCGAGAAGGAACCGCTGAATAACGACGATCTCCAAGCTATCGCGGACCGGGTCGCCGCCGCATAAACCGAAATGTAGCCGTGTACTCAACCTGTACTCTTGATGCCATCAGGTCTGGAAATGCACATTGGGTCTGGAAATCCAGTTCTGGGCTCTCCCCGGGCGTCTTTCGCCCTGGATTTTCTCGGACTATGTACCTTTAACTGTTTTCTAAGAGCATACCACATAGTTCTTCTATCAGAGAACAGGAAGGTATTGAGATGGTATTGCCGGTCCGTCAACTAGTGGTCTCACGGTTCGGTTCGGGTTCGGACAATTTTTTGCTGAACCCCGAACCTGAACCGCGGTTCAGGTTCGGACGGTTCGGTTCAGAGGTTCGAACCGGCTCGAACCACTGAACCAACTTTTCAGGAGAGTATGGCATTTTTCAATCCTGTAGGACTCAAATACACACCTCAGTTACCACTGCCAACCCCCGGTATAGACCCCGCAGGGGACCTCCTGGGTACCCTTAGATGTAGCTCTATGGGTACCCAGGAGGTCCCCCCCCACGTGGGTACAGGGGGCAGCTGGCCATTTTGGGGCAGGGGGATGGGCGGGGGTCAGGACGGGGGGTGCCCATACATACCATGTGACTTGTCCATAAGAGTGGGCAGCTGGGCGGGGAAAAAAAATCAATCACATGATGCACCAAATGGGCGGGATGGCGGGAAAATCATGTGATGAGCTGCAGGAAAAAATTTCAAAATGGCAGGGTTGGCAGGGGCATTGGCGGGGGCGCTACCATCCCCTCCCGCACACTGCGGCGGGCAGTGGGTGCATTATCACATGACTTTTTGGGGCACCTTTTTGCACCATTTGGCATGATTTTGGAGCTGCTTGATAGATTGCATGTTGTGGCAGACAGTGGGCGCAAAACCACGTGATTTTCCGCCAAAAAAAGGAAGCCTCTCTAAATCATCCCAGTATAATGTCCATAGGTAAATACACTGATTGACCATGCATTTGAGCTTAGAAAACCCCAAATGCACCCTGCACAATAGGATTGTTGATGCGCTTGATCCCATCATCTGGTGGGGTCTGCTGCGGGGTCAGTCTGGCATATTCTATATTTGACCTCCCTTAGCCGTAGCAGTAGTGCTGCTGACCACCAGGGCAAGAATACAAACATTTATGAAATATCTTATCAAGGTAGACAAAGCCAATAGGGCAGGTGAAGATGTGTAATTGGATATTGCAATTGATGCAGGGCCCAGTGCGGGGTCTGGTGCGGGGTCTGATGCGGGGTCTGGTGGGGGAGCAGGGGCAGGGGTGGATTACACAAAATTTTAATGTATCTACTCTGGCTAGGGTTGTAGAATGTCACGTAACTTTTCTGTTGAGCACTGGGGAGAGCGTCTAGCAACCCACCTGTGTGAGTTGAGAGCTTAGTGTGGGCACTATGCGGGAGTAGTCAAGAGACTTGGATTATAGGGTAATAGAGCCCTCCTTATATACAATACAGGGGGCTATTTGTGTCTATTTAGGACGAGTCGACATGACTCTAGATGACACGTGATGGAGTCATAAGATGTGTATCACGACATCCATCTGGCAGATGATAAGATCATCATTTGATCAACACTCCCCCACGCTGAAAACCACAGGAAAGTGTTTGAAAGCAAAATGTTCATCGGCCATTCCTTCAGGACGAGTTGAACTCAAGTCCTAGTTGGGACCTGAACTTCTCGAACTTGACGCGTCCTAGGTTCTTGGTGAACATATCTGCAGGATTCTCACTGCCCGGAATAAAGAACAGTTCAACCTCTTCTTCCTCGACTCGCTCACGAATGTAGTGATAGCGGATGTCTATGTGTTTCATCCTGCGGTCTCGGTAGGCATTGCTGCCACTGAAGAGTGCACCCTGATTGTCACCGCAAATGGGTACTGGGATGGTGAGTTTGAACTGGAGTTCCGAAAGGACACTCTTCAGCCACATCACCTGGCGACTACAATCTGAAATCGCCATGTACTCTGCTTCGGTCAAAGACTGCGCAACAGTGCGCTGAAGTCTAGACTGCCAGCAAATAATCCCGTCTGCCAATTTCGTGAAGAAACCAGTGGTAGACCTCCTCTTGATCGGATCAGCAGCCCAGTCTGAATCGCTAAATGCAATTAGCCCTCTATCCGTCGCACCATTGAAAATGAGCGAATAATTCCTAGTACCAGCCAAATAGCGGCAGATATACAGCGCTTTATGGAGGTGGTCTTGGGACGGATTGGCAGCAAATTGTGACAATTTGGTCACAGCAAATGCAATATCAGGACGTGTGCCTAGCATGATGAAGAGAAGAGATCCAATGACTGATTGGAATTTCTTCCTGAGCTCTGGATCGACTTCATCCTCATTTGGCATTGGAACATACCCAGCCGGTAGAGGGGTCGCTGCGAACTTGGCGTTCTGCATCCCAAAGCGCTCTAGCACCTTGTCGAGATAAGGAATCTGATCAATCTTGATCGAAGATCCTACTCTACTGAGGCGCACGCGCAAGAACTCTGGAGTATCTTCAGAATTGCGGCATTCCCATCGCTTGTTGAACTCAGCCTTGAGAAAGGCGAGGAGCTTCTTGTTCTTGGAGAAGAACAGAGCATCATCCACATAGACTATTATGACGGCTATGCTGCCATCAGAGTCCTTGTAGAAGAACACGCCGGCATCCGATGTTAGTCGGATCCAGCCCATGGCTTTCGTGGACTTGGTCAGCGCTTTCCACCATGCTAAAGCAGCTTGTTTGAGTCCATAGATTGCCTTGTGTAAGCGCATGACTTTGCGCTCTTGGCCTCTCGCCACAAAGCCTTCGGGTTGTTCCATGTAGACCTCTTCGTCAAGCTCTCCATAGAGAAAAGCCTTACTGACGTCGAGTCCAGACCAATGCCAATCATTTAGCGCTGCAAGCGCCATGACTAACCGGAACGTCTCATACCTGACAACAGGAGAGAATATCTCGTCATAGTCAACACCTTCGACTTGACTGAAACCCTTGGCAACTAGGCGGGCACGTTTTCGGCCATCAGATTTTTGGTCAAAGACCCAGCGACATCTGATAACCTTCCGTCCTTTCGGGCGGTCCACAAGGGAATAGACCTTGCGCTGACGAAGTGCCTCTAACTCGTCGCGGCAAGCATCAATCCAACCTTTCTGTTGTTCAGAAGGCAACCGCTTGATATCGCGGAACGTCCAATCGCAAATTTTGGACGTATCAGGTAGGTTCTCATTTGGAACCGCTTTTGACAGCAGCGCCGTGATGAGCTCTACTCCCCCTTCCCGGCATAGCTTCTCCATGTGTGCATCCTCGTCTAGATCATCAGAAGCACCCGCGTTTGAGGAATCTGGTTGCGAGCTAGGGCCGGGAACCCCTGCATCAGCACCGGTTGATGGTTGAGATTGGGAGCTACCCTTATCTTCACCAACATACCGCTTCCATCCTCTGCTGTTCTGAATGTCACGGACTATATCCGTAGGGGTACGCTTTTCCCCATAGACGTTTCCTGGACGTGTAGGCACATTCCGCTGGCGTGAAGACCTTCAAGGCTCAGGAGCTGGTGAAGCTTCCCGACTTGGTCGTGGAATTCTACTTCTACGAGTCCTCTGAGGTTCATCCCGACGCTCTGGCGGTGGGTCCTGACGATTATGACCGTCGTCACCATCATCATTTCCCTGTACGGGAGGTGGTGGAGCCGGATCAGATGGCATGGGAAATGGAAAAGGATTATCTCCATATAGCCAATCTTCTCTGTCTACCTGTGGTGGATCTTGTGGATTCACTGGGTCATCACGTTCTGGAAATTCCTCTCCAACAGGAACGTGGGGTGGTCGATTGCTGTCAGGACAGCGGGGGAACAACTCCTCGTCGAACAATGCCTTGGTGGCGACGAACGTGGAATTGTTTGTGCGCATGAACAAAAATCCTTTCACACCATCAGGAATGCCCAAGTAGGTCATCAGCTCCGATTTGGGCGATAACTTGTTGGCGCGCTTCTCATCAGGGATAAAGACATATGCAGCGCAACCGAAGACTCGGAGTTCGGAAACATCCGGTTTTTCCTTGTGAAGAGCTTCAAATGGAGTTTTCCATTTTAGACGCCTGATAGGTGTCATATTGTAGATCCGTGTCGCATGTTTGATAGCGAATTCCCAATAAGAATTAGGAAGACAGGCAGTGAAGCGCATGGCTTCTGCCTTATCCATGATCGTACGATTGAAGCGCTCGGCATGCCCATTCTGCTGGTGAGCATATGGAGCACCCTTCTCCACTAGAATTCCTTGTTCCGCGAGAAATTCTTCCATTCCCATCCCCATGAATTCTCCCCCATTGTCAATATGCCACTTTTTGATGGTGACATTGAACTGGTTCTTGACCATCGCAATGAAATTGCGCATAGCCTGCTTGGCATCGGATTTCTGCGCAAGGCATACTGTCCAGCCATAGGAGAGTGCTTCGTCGAAGAAGCTCATGAAGTAGCGGTACTTGTGATAAGACACCGTGGGAAATTGTTTGAGATCCGAGTGGATCAAATCAAACGGATTCTCCGCTCATTTTTCGGAAGGCGGGAAGGCACGTTGGTGCATTTTCCCTTGCGCGCATCCTTTACACGGTCGGGTTTCCTCGGGAAATACTAGGTCTTCTGGAAAGCCCTTGGTATTCTTCTTTGCCTGACGTAAAACGTCTTTCGACGGATGTGCAAATCGCCGGTGCATGATCTCATAATCCACCTTGTAAACAGTGGACATGGATCGCACTGTCTCAGCCGTACTAGGCTTTGACATCAGGAAGTATAATGCAATGTCCTTCCCTAGAGTTCTAAACTCCATGATCGAGAGTGGGGACTTCCCTCGATGTAAGCTGATCCGCGATTCGTCTCCACGAACGCGAGATCCTCCTTTGAGTAAGGAGCCCAAAGACATGAGACGACCATGTAATCCTGGCACTAGGTACACTGGATATATCTGAGAAGTCACCATTGTCTTTTCTCCATGCCTTGTGACGTAATGATCGATGAAGGCTGTTCCTCGACCAATAAGGGCA